GTGGGTGGGCCTTCAAATACTTGCTTCCAGAATGCACCTTTTGTACCCRGAAACAGACTTTTATAAAGAGTCAAATGATCAAAAACTCGTGAATAGAAAATAAAACAGACGTTCTGCAAAAACATGTGGAGCTTTAACTGGGACAGATTAGTGGACAAAATAATGGCGGACATCTGATTTGTTTTTTTCCAGAGCATACAGACGCCAGCAGGGAGAAACCCTGTGGTGTATCCCACAGCAGGAGGGGTTTCAGGTGCTCGACATACGTTGTGTGTCTCAGAAACTATGAGAAGTAGGTGTGAAAATAAAAGTCGAAAAGTCGGTGTGGGATCGAGTTTAACGGGCCTTTACTTGTAGATTTTCAATGCCAACCTACAAATTCCAAGCTCCTCTGCTTTGGGTAGTCACGCATTAAAAACTTTGAAAATAAATGGAAAGCCTCTCTGCACAGCAGCAAAAAGTGGGGGGCTTCTTTGACTCGGACTGTTTTAACCTGTCAAATAAAGCTTTTTACACAAGCACCCCCCCCCCACCCCCTCTACAGTACCTGTGCAATGCAGCACAATAATATAACATGTCACTTTGACAGGTGCTGAGTGAATTAAAAACATCCTCTCCGCCGAGAACTCCGTCAGAGAGGGAAAACCCACGCCAGATGTACTACAACCTCACTTTGCACGCTTGATCAAACACCTACATCTGGGTGCCGAGGGCTTTTCTGCTCTTCCCCGCAGATGCTAAATGATATCGTTAACATTTTAATGCAAGAGGCATTTACACACGGGCTTGCGCAATTACACCTCCAATTCAGTGGAATCCAGACAGACACAGTGTGATCGGTAATTAGATTTTACATCGGGTGAGACACACACAGACGCAGACACACACACACACGCAGAAAGAGCCACCAAAGCTTGCTCCTAATTAGAGAGCCAGACAGAGTCGAGGAGGTACGGTACAGTAGAGTAGCCCTCATTATAGACCCAAGATGTATGAACTGGAGGATATCTATTATGATCACACATCAGGGTATCCATTACCCAACATTAGCAGCTCTTTCAACTGGAATCACGCACGGAGTTCAAACCCAACAAACCCTCTCAGAACTCGTTCGAGTGAGCAAGAGTTAAGTGGGTTTGTAAACTTAATTTAGCCCATTAGATATTCACAKCAGAGCGAGGCGGCACAAGGTGATCTTTCACCTGCTGCGTGGTTTTACGGGCTGATCTCATCTGGGAGAGCCGCCGTACGACTTGTGCAACCGAAGCCTAATTGTTGATCAGCAAACAGACTAATGGCTGTGAGTGCGGCTGTAAAACCCACTGGTCAGATTTCACTCGTTTCTCCAGCGATCGCCGGACAGCTCGACTCCTCCCGTTCTCCCTTCCTCTCTTCCCACTTGCAGCCATCTTTCGATTCCAGCTGTAACKTCTCCATCTGGAGTTTCGGGTTGCTAATAATGTGAGGTCATGTGCAATTGGCCAGGCTACTAGTGTTGGCAGCTGTGCATCACGTTGAGTGCTTTACAGAACTGGACACTCCACCCCCCCTCCTCGAATTTAGAGTAAAACGTGTCAATGTAAAGGTCGCAGCTAACCAAGACTTTATTTCCTGACCTCTGCCTAAAAGCTCATATATTGACAGAAAAGAAAAAAAAGATGTGAGGGCTTTTATACTTCTTAGCCACRAGGTGAGAAAGTGAGTTAATGCATGTCTACAAATCATCTCAGGCTTTGTGGGAACTCTGCGAGAAGCCTTGTCTCATTACATCTTTCCAATGAGAATTTGAATAGGCCAGATTAGCTTGCTGTGCTTTTTGCCCAGAGGCCACTTTCAGGCAGATATTTAATGTTTTCTCTCCTGTACTGATCACTGCCTTTATAGATTCTGCTTGCAGGAGAGSACAAGTAGGAAGCCTTAAATGCAGGATAACCAATGATTGAGCTGCTTGATTTTCAAATATGACAGTATTTTTTTTATATCAAAAGAGTGATCTACAGGCAGTCAGAGTTGTAAAGTAACTTAAGTACAAATACTTTGTTACTGTACTTAAGTCGAAATTTTAGTTATCTGTAATTGAGTAATTATTTTTCAGCGTACTTTTTACTTTTACTCATTGCATTTTTACACAATTATCTGAACTTTCTACTCACTACATTTTTTAAAAAGGTAAGAAGAAGAAAGTCGTTACTCCTGTTTTATTCTGAGTACTTAAAAAAATACTATCCTGATAAATTGTGTCTCCTGGATAGAGTGAATTAAATTGTGGTTGGATGAGAAGTATAAATAGATACCATTCTGACACCCTATTAGCTTGTACACAACCCATCACAGCTGCACGCCGTTAGAAAAAATATTTTTTGGAGAAGTCACCTCCCAATAAATGTCATTTTGGAAAATCTAACTGCTCACTTTTACTCAGTACTTTTACTTTTAATACTTAAGTAGATTTTGTGTCAGAAATTTACTTTTGATACTTAAGTACAAAAAATATCTGATACTTTCAGACTTTTACTCAAGTAATATTTTTAGAGAAGACTTTAACTTTTACCTAAATATTTTTATGATAAGATACTTGTACTTTTACTCAAATATCACTTTGAGGTACTTTATACAACACTGCAGGCAGTTAAAACTGTAAAACTGCTTGTCTTATTTGAAGAGTTGGTTAAGAAGGTATTAACACACCTCGTAACAAACTGATGCAACAAAATAATCTCTGATTCAAACACTTCCGATGTTTTTTGTCTTTTTTCGATAAAGTCAAACTCCTGGATCAGGAGTTGCCTCCTGGTTTCCGTGTCTGCCATTTTGTAACGGGGTCCAACTTGTGATGAAGTYCCACCCCACGTCAAAGTAGACAAAATTGGCCTGAACGTAAACAAGCAGCAGACTCTTTCTGACAACCCCAGGCGTACGCAGCGTAGAGCTCTTTTTCTGAGCCCACATTGTCAGGATGTTGAATGCAGGGGAACGCTTTAGGACGCAGCCCCTGACACCCATTAGGGAGGGTTACCATAGAGACAGGCCAGCGAGCAGGCCTGTTCCTGAAACAGCAAGAATTGTCTGGAATTCAATCTCTGCGCCTGCCTTCAATCTACAAGGTCATTCATTCACTCTGACAACGACTGCTCAGCCGAAGAACACCTCATTTTCATGATAATCGACAAAACATCSAGCTGCAGAGGAAACCAGGACTTACAGCCACAGAGACGGACAAATCCACCGAACAACAAAAATAATAAACGTGAACGCGTTCATCTTGAAATGCATCGACGCTGCAAACGACGAGCACAAAGTGCAACGTCTTTAACCGAACGTTGTCTTCGGCTTAATCCCTATCARTGGTTTGCCAGGGGCCTCCTCAATAATCCCTTATGCAATAAACGGACACAATCTTGCATGGCGGTTGATCCAATGTCAGATGATTATGATTAATGGGGGTTCCTTATTGTTCCTTTATGAGTTTTAGCACAAGCTGGGCTGAGGGAGATACCATTTTATGTGGAAGCCAGTGTCAATAAAACAGCACCGACTGACTGACGGCCGCCTCGCCTCTGAAAAAGAGTCGACATAAAGCAAAAATCAATTTCGGAAGCCTTATTTTATCATTCCAGCCAGGGAGGAAACTGGAGGGGGGGGGGGGTCCATTTTAGGGAGTGGGGTGGACACAAAATCCCATATCATAGCCTCTTGATGCGGTTAAATATATTCATACCTGAAAATCCCGACAATTCTGTCAATTTCTCCTGCATGTATTCAGCTTTTATTATTATTTTAAGCCTTTTTTGTAATGATTTTAAGCCTTTTATATGAACCAGCCATTGGTTTCTGGCTCTCATTTGAGCATTTTTGTCGCCTTGATGTGTTTTTCTTTCAGACATTTTCTTTCCTTCCCTCCATCGCCGCCTTCTTTCCCTGTTTTCATACACACCCAGTCAGCCATAATCCCTCCCCGTAGAAGCAACTCTGGCCAATAAGTGAACGCAATAAACTGTGTCAATTTTCCGCTATTGATATTGGATAAAAAATTAATTAATTAAAAAATTAAACAATTCTGGGAGCTCGGTGGCATTCGACAGGGTCATGCACACAACATTCAAATGTAGATAAAGGGCGATAAATAAACAGAAGAGGCATCGCCTCAATAACATTTGAACAGAAAATGTGTATTTTGTTTGAATATTAATTTTAAATTTTAAAAATTTGCATTTAGCTCATTWAACATTGCCTTTTCAGCTCACTGTCAACTGAACTCAAAATAAAGCCTTACATCACATTTAAGCCTCAGTAAAGCTGCGATTCCATTTGTTGTCGACAGAGTCATGAATGCATTTCAATATTTAGAATTTTATTTTTCTAAATCATCGTCTATTCAGGCAGGGATAACTGACCTGGAGAAATGTTCATAAATGGATGTGTTTTTACGCCTCGTTTTAACATTTGGGCCGATTTGAACTTGGGGAAAATATGGGAGGCGGAGAAGAGGAGAACGGGTTAAACCAAATGTTCATTATATCACATACGTCACTTATTACTAAGGGCCGTAGTGGAACAAGAATGTGAGAGAATGAGAGGTGTCAGGCTTAAAATAAAACAGGATTAAAGAAAGAAAAACAAAAGATTTGGTTTGATTGAATTTAATGAAATAGAATTAATAAAATAAAGCCAAATTTAAACCATATAAACCTGAGCATAGCACGGTTTGTTTTTATTTTGGTGGGGATTGTGTCTCTGAAGGCCATAAATATGTTTGAGGGTTGTTTTTTGTGTGTGTGTGTGTGTGTGTGTGTGTGTTTAGGTTTTAATGCCTTATCCATCAAGGGTGACAGCTTTTTAATTTTTTTTTGACAAGCATCTAAAATCCATCCTTGTGGGTCACAGGTGACCTCCATCCTCTCCTCTCTTCAGTCATTTTTTTTCTGTCTCCCAGTGATTTGTCTCCTGCAGCAGGTAATAATGAGCAGCGCTAAGAATAGACTGTAGCAGGTGAAACTTACCATTCAAGATGCTCTGGAGGAAGAGAAAAGCCAATATCCACATGCCCTGCTCCGTTCAATCCCCCCCGCCCCCCTGAGCTATGCCTTCTCGTCTTCCTCCGACCGGTGCCTCCCTGGGCTTCTCTTCTGTGCGCTTGGTGTGAGGTTAAACATTTGCCTCTGTTTTGGAGCGACCCAGTCCGACTTTTAAAAAAAATCCTCTTAACTTTTTCATTAAAGTGAATTATTCTCTTCTTYCTCTCCCTCCTTTTTCCTCCTTGCGCTTGGAACAAATGAGCCTCTGTGATTGTCTTGTGCGCTCAGACTCTCCTCCTGCGCTCTTCTTCCCTGTTTTTCAGAAAAGGATGCCGAAGTGCTGAAGCCCAGGTGAATGTGATGCTGAGTCAGAGCTGTGTGTGCGTGTGTGTGTGGATGTGTTTGAGTGTGTGTGTGTGGATGTGTGTGAGCGTGAGGGGAGAGAGGGGGGAAAAAAGAGCAGATCTTGGTGCCAGAAAAAATATAAAATAAAAGGAAGGGGTGGGGGGTCAGAAATGTACTAAATGGAACACTAAGTTGAGACCCATCCTTGGTGGTTTTGGGGGRAAATGAGTATCTAATAAAGCAGCGTTAGAGAATTGGAAGAATTAAAAAGTGCCTTTTTTTTCCCTCTCCTCGGACTCCAAAGTCAGATCCTCTCCATCGCCTCTGTGAGTCCAGTAAGAGGCGAGCAAAGCGCATCATCCCCCGCTGCCGCCGCTCTGTGATCGCACCGCTCCGACTCTCTGAGCGTTACGCAGAAAAGACCTCCGCTCCCCTGCCCCTGCGCGCGCTTTAACTCCTCGTTGCCTTAAAGGAGCAGAGACGGCTGCCGGTCGGTGATGAGGGCAGGACACTAAGGGGAGAGAAAAGGAGGTGGGAGAGTGTTTGGGAGAGAGAGGGAGGGAGGGAGGGAGAGAGAGGGAGGGCGCAGTCGGCGGGACATTTGCATGAAGGAAATGAGGCACCTGACGCACCGTTTTTACGCACGGAGTTGTTTGGGCTCAGCGGGGAGAAGCGCTGTCTGCTGGTGTGCAGGTGTTCTCAGCATCCCGACCTGCCTGTAATTTACCCAACAGGGCTTTTTTTTTTTTAATAAATAAGGACAGAGAAGGATGCAAATCCTCAAGGCTATCAAAAGACGCACGTTTTTCTCTGCCTCGTTCAGGAACAGTAAGCTACAAGAAAACAAGCAACAACACAAAYAAACAATAGGCCTACCAATTCTCAATACAATGCATGTCGCCCGTGGCTGCCCATGCCAGCGTTTTAAACTCTTGTGCCGAGAAATGACAGAGCTGCCGCCCTTTTATGCGCGATCTCACGGGACATCTCGCGTGATCTGTTGGTTCTCAGACTATGTTTTGAGAAGGACTCTGTCACCACCACAACAAATTTTCATTTGTGTGGGCTAATGTTGCTTCGCTGTGGCAGARATCTTGAATAGGTTTGACTCCAAAAGTTACTGAGTTGTAGATAAAGTGGTTGCTCCGACAGACAATGCCAAAGTTTTCAACAAAGACATTGTGCTGCCCTTGACATATGTGTTGGGGATGATGCTCAGCTACGACCACAGCAGAATATCTGGAAAACTGGCTGAGTTGCAGCCATTTTTGTGTTCATTAGCTGTGACAGCTGTCTTAAACTGAAAGTTGATCAGCTGTATGRACACTTACTTTCTGAGTGTTCCAATAAAACCAGTGATTCGTGGGATATTTTGCTAACAGAAAAACAAACACGAACCAATAACATTATAGCTCCACCTTTGCCTTCACTGTTTGGTGATAAAGACCAAATAAAACATCAGTGGATGGGGGGGAGACCAGGTTAATAAACCCTAAAGGGGGGTGCCTACAAGCGTACATTCTTGCACAGCGCCTCTCTTCAACGCCACAATCCACCCCACCCACCACCACTCCTCCATTTTAATGCCTGCCTTGAAGTCAAGGGTACCGAAGGCAGAGGAAGCCTCGTGGGCCTGGCTGTCCACAGAGCCGCGGCTGTACTGGATGTGATTTCACCTGCAGCCCCAGTCTGCAGCACTCTATCTCACATAAGAGTCAAATCAGAAAACCTCAGGGTGCTCATTTTGGACGTACAAGGATTTTTTTCTTTCCTTTTTTTTTTTCAATTCTAATTGTAAACGTCAACAAAGGCGTAAGCGAGCTGACACGTGCTGTTGTTGGAGACGGATTCMTTCTGCGGTTTTCTGTCGAACTCGATGCTTTTGTTCCAGGATTCATTCTGCCTCTCCTCGCTCTGGTGCTGCAGACAAACAGCTGAAGTTTGTACCAGAACGCACCGTTCCAGTGCGCCTCAACTGTTCCTTTTCTGCTCACCTCTGTTTGACGTTTTCAGCAGATGCCTGCAGTTGATAAATTTGTTTTAACGTGGCGTGCTCGTGTCGCGTCAGATTGTGGGTTTGATTGAGTAAGAGGATGTGGTGAAACTTGCTTATTTGCTCAAGTTGCCAGGTAAATCCTAACCAGTTTAAGTCTCTGTGTGGAGGAAACGCTAATGAATCAGGGCAGTGGGTCAGAAATCCTGCCTGTCAGTTGAGAGTGGATTAACAGGACTGTGCTGATGTTTCAGCTTCAAACACTCAATGAGCAAAGTCTGTGAAGAGCTGCAAAGAGGAGGGATTTAACTGTTTGTGTCATGTATACAGAAATGTATAGGAGAAAGGGTGAAAGGGATATGATTTTATGTTGTATTTAATAATGATTTTGCTGATGTCTGTGTGTATGTATGTGCCTGTCTGTTAGCAAAATAACTCATAAACCGTGTAGCAGATTTTATTGAAAGTCTCAGAAAGCCATCGCTGGATGTACATCTACAGCTCTTCAACTTTTGGAGTCAACCTGATTTCAAGATGGCCACCACAGCTTAGTGCTATCATTAATCACAAAAATGATGTAACTCAGCCACTTTAAATGAAATTGAGCTCAAATTTAGTGTGGTGGAAGCTGAGAGTCATCCCCAACAAATATGATGAGCACTAACTGACCTTGCAAGATCTGTTTTTAAAACTTGACCGATAATTGCTGCAGTCAACTCTGCCCGTCTGTTAGCAAAATAGCTGATGAACCACTGCATGGGTTTTATTGAAACTCTCAGGAAGTAATTATTGGATGCACATCTACAAATGATTACATTTTGGAGTCAAATTAATTATAGATAGCCACCTCAGCTCAAGGACCTTAGGTCACACATTAAGTGGCTGTAACTCCACCCTTTTTGCAGATACTGAGCTAAATTTTTGTGATGATGGTTGAGATTTTTCCACAATAAACAGACTGAGATTGCACAAAATGTCTTTTACAAAGGCTGACCAAACTGATTGTAACCATTTCATTTTTCAATATATTATCTTAGTATAAACCTGTGATTTTAAAGTATGTGGGCATCCCTTCAAGGAATGGTAGACCTTTATTTATTTTCTCTGATTCATACTAAAAAAATCTAATTTTTCTTCAGCTCAACCTTCAGCAAAGTTTAAAAGGAGCAAGCTCACTTCTCTTTGCTGCTAAAGGTAACGTTCACAGCCTGCAAAGACAAACAATCCCAAAAGATGGAGGAGAAAAATAAATAAATAAATAAATAAAGGGATCTAAACGGGTTCAACAGATTGACAGAAGGATCCGTGGCATTAGAGGGAGCCATCTGACATTTTAGGGGTAAATTAAGCATCAGCATAATCTAACTCAGCAAACAGGATTTTTGTGAGAAGCCAGAGTGAAACAGGATTGACGGGAAGCTTTGGAATAAATTAATGCAAATCAAAAGCTATATTTGTTTGCATAAAATTATACATAAAAATAAATAATAATGCCGAGGCTTGGAGTCACAAAGCTAATAAAACATTTACACAGGGTTATGTGTTGTACACATTCTCACAACACAGTATAGTCCAAAAGCTTCATTATGTGTGTTCAACAACATAAATTAAAAATATAAATATTTATAAGTAGATCAGGGATGGGCAACTGGTGGCCCACTGACTACATTCGGCCTGCACGTGACTTTCGTAAGGCCCGCCATTTTTTAAAGCTAAAAAACGCACTCAAAGCAGCTTTTAGATTTGTCTTAGAAAAATAACAAAAATGAATAAAACTGTCCTCTGTAACACTAAATTCGTTGCAATGACGGAAGCACAAGTCTTCTCTACCAATGAGGAAGAGCTGGTGAGCCATGGCTAAGAACAGAGGAAAGAAAACTGGACAAATAAAATCACGTTTCAGTTGAAATGGGAGGTAGATTATCTGTTCACGGAATTTCAAGGCAAACCTGTTTGTTCAGTCTGCTTAAAGACACTGTCTGCTATTAAGGATGGTTATTATAAGCAGCCACAACATGTTGCACAAAGACGTTTACTGAAGTCGCAAGTACATAAACAACAACTTTTTACCAGAACCACACTAGTCTGCACTCAAGGCAGCTTGTGCCGTACCACTTCACCTCACTAAAGTAAGCAAATATTTATTTTTGGTTTGCTTCAAACATTTTGTTTCCATAGTTATTAAACAAGAGTACCACTCTTATACGTGCATTTGAGTATGAAATATGTTAAGTTTCTGCACTGCATGTTTTTTTAAATGACAGTTTTGTTACATTTGGGCAAGAGTGCAGCGCCATATGGCCCTCTGGTAGTGCTAACAAAAAAATGTTGCCCCTTCCATCATTTATGTTGTCCATCCCTGAAGTAGGTGATGTGGGGGCATCATTTAAACAATGTGCTTTGATATTATCAACTCTAATAATTAAAAAATAACATCTATTCTGTTAATCACAACTGGGATGAGCTTGTTTGACATGTTTAATATCTGCTTAGCTCAAGTATTCACCCGCTCTTAACAAAAGCCATAATTAAAAGATGATTACTCCTTTACTTTGTTTTTAAAGCCATGGATTTTTAATCTTACTAAGGTGCAAACTATCACTTTTAAGAAAATAGTTATAAAAGATCTTTAGTTTAGATGATTTGAAGATGATATTTAACTGACAGGGAAATAGATATATTTTCCATCTTGGTGGAAACAGGTGTGAGTGTTTATCACTTCCAGCAGCTGCTCAYACACGAAGTGAAAGACAATACCTTCATTTTTAATCTGAAGACGAGAGTCACGACCTTGTGCACGACCTTGTGCACAAAGGGCTGAGGTATTCAGCTGCAAAGTCTAACAGATTATCTTCAGGACAGCAGAGAAGGCATAAATCTGTGATTGTCAACTGGTGGCTCACGGGCCACRTGTGGCCTGCAGGCTCATTCCATTTGGGCTGAAAGTTAAATCCAACACAGTGATCAGTTTGTCATGGCGTCTCACTCAGACTGTTAGTTTTAGCAGGATGGGAAACGAAAAGGACACTCAGGAAGTTTCAGGTGAAGTATCGTGTTTATTGCAAATATATCTTTTTTATTTTTGTGAGGTTATTTTGAACTTGGAGTAATTGTGTCAYGTTTGTGCCAAGCATATGGACCTGAAATATGTTTATTGCAAACTATGAAAGCAAAAATAAAAAAGGACAGACTTTAAAATCCACATTATATGTTTACACTGATGATCATGGTCAAACAGAAATTTATGAAAAATGTTCCTTTGCATCATAATTACTCAAAACTATTTTTAAAAAAATCAAACCTCAAAGCAACACACAGTTTGTTTAGTGTTCAGTTGACACGRCTGAACATCACATGTCTGATGATAAACGACACATAAAGATTTACATAAATCTAAAATATGTTGAATGAATTGGAAATATGATAGCTTGTTTAGTATTACTGCGTTTCACTTCAGAATACGTCCGGTGGGTTTTTGTCAGTGTTTTGCA